CATAAAGCGATTGGTCGGTAGGTGTAGATGGCCTTTGCTTCGGGACTTTGCAGGACTCAGTTTTGTGAAACTCTCATAAAGCGATTGGTCGGTAGGTGTAGATGGCCTTTGCTTCGGGACTTTGCAGGACTCAGTTTTGTGAAACTCCCATAAAGCGATTGGTCGGTAGATGTAGATGGCCTTTGCTACGCGGGACTTTGCAAGACTCAGTTTTGTGAAACTCCCATGAGGCGATTGGTCGGTAGGTGTAAATGGCCTTTGCTTCGGGACTTTGCTACTCAGTTTTGTGAAACTCTCATAAAGCGATTGGTCGGTAGGTGACATAATGTCCTAATGAACTGTGCCCTTACCTGGCATTACTATCAGTGATGTGATTACTTTTCTATGACAAACATGGAATTTCAGTAGTGTAGGCCAGGGAACTAAAATACTTTCTCAGTAGTGGTGATTATGGTTGACGCTTAATATCTTTAGACAAGAAGCTAAAATCGGTAAATTCCAACATAGTTGAGTCATATGTATTGATGACTGCAGCAAAATTTCCTTGCAAAAGCCTTACATGTATTTTCTAAGTTCTAAATGTTATGTTATTTAAAGTAAAACCAAAACAAAACAAAAACACGACAAAAAAAAACAAAAACAGAATATGAAAGATAAGATGCCCATTTCGATCAATATAGTTGACAAAAGCAATTTTAGAATAGAATCCTGGCTGGGAAATGATCTTTGAATTATATCCTGGCTGGGAAAACAAAATACAAAATATTTGTATAGATGCTGGCTGGGAAACCGTTTTTTTATATATATTCCTGGCTGGTAATTTCAATAATTTTTTTGCTGGCAGGCATTGTGGAGCGGATATTTTTTTCCCAGGAAAGTTAATAATTAACTCTATGTAGTGTTACGACACTTGCCAAGTGTTCTAGACATCTTAATTTGCAAATTGGTGAAAGTGGTCCGTTGAGCACTCCTGATTTAGCGCAGGGGGGAATAACCTCGAATCTATGTTTAGATTTATTTGTTTATATTTCATTGTTTTCTACCCTAAGAACGAAGCTATTCTCACCTGTTTTGGAATTTTATAAGAATAGTCATTTGAGAACTATTTGGCTAGTGCTAATTCATGCTTTAGTGCCTTAGGAACATTAGTAACAATGCGCTTAAGAACTAGGGAACTCCCTATTGTTCTGCGGCATTGCAACTTCCCCACATACGAATGTCTTGGTTTTCATACTGATTATATATCAACCTATGGGTACCACATTTTTGAAATAAAATGTGGATAAAATCTATTTTGAAATAAAGTTTCTTTTGTATTAAAAGCTCTTATTCAATCATAAGCACTCAAAAAAATAGCCAAAAGATGATTCTAAATTTGCTATGTTCCCCACGTAGAATTGCCTTAATATTGTAGCTAAGAAAGCTTTCATGAAGTCGGAATCAGATATTAGATAAAATATTAGAAAATGCGCTGACTTGTGAAATTATAGCAGATTTTCTTGTTTAAACCAATAGGATGGATGGATTATACAATGCACAATTACCATCTTCTTGCATTCCTTTGCCGTTTTCTTCCCTAGTTCTTACTCGGGCCATTACTTAAACATTTTTACAGGTCAACTTTTTAAATTACAGAAGTTGAGGTATAGATTAGAATGCAAACACTGTAACAGTGAAAAACTTTGATAATAATTAAATTATGTGAAATCAGTGTTAGTGCAATTGCGTGCGAATACATGCATCAGGAGTTTCAGAGAACAATGCGTCCGCCATCATGAAAAGTGAGCCCCAAATCACTGTTTTGCTTTAGAAAAAAATTCGTAGTTGCTCAGTCAACTAATCTATCATTATATCGTATATTATATTAACTTGACATTAGCTTAGAACCTTTTAATTTCTTTAGGAGTTATAATTTAGTGATTCGAGTCCCACTTTTGAAGATGGCGGACGCATTGTTCTCCTGATGCATGTATTCCTTTTGACTTTCTCTACACTTCATTGCGCTATTTAGTACTATTAGGTCAGTACTTTTTTACGTTTTAGTATTTGCGCTCTATATCTCCCAGAAATGCATTTCTCATGTTTTCAGTCGATTTGAAAGACTTCGCTTGATCGTCTTAGTTAAAAAATGACAATAAGCGACGGCCAAATTTGTAGAAAAAAAAGCTGAAAACACATACACACAAAAAAAGAAATTGATATTGAACCTTTTTTAACTAATATAAAAATGTTCTGCCAAGGTTTTTTTTCTATTGCAAGTTTTTGGTGTATGTTTTACTAATCATGAACCTGTCTCTTTAGGTGTGCAATGTTTTCAATGGCTTGCTGAACCGCCAAACCAAACAATCACTGAATCTGGTAAAAATGTCAGTATATCCTGGCGGTACATATTGGAAAATGGCGAGAAACCCATCAGCTCGAAGATTTACATCGACGGCGAAAAAAGAATTACTATAGCGTCAATGAATATACTAAAAAAAAAGTACCTTCTCATTGAAGAGTATGATGGAGCAGCGAAAGTGATTTCTGAAAATTCTACAGTGACATTGGAATCTTTCTTCATAAAAAAGAATTTGGCTGATAAAGAATATTGTATTCATATGGCGATTTCCGTTGATCTTGCGACAAAAGAATTTTCAAAAGAATATAGAAGCTGTACTAAGTTATCAGTGTATGGTAAGTAGTCTAGTAGTCTTAAATATCGCTGTGTCTACATGGCCGGTTACCGGTCAAGGTCTTGAAAATGCTAAATGGCCGGCAGCCCATAAAATGTGTTTTTTCCCTCTCTTATTATCTAAACGAGCTTCCAAACTCCAAAATAAAACTCTACGAGTAAAATGAGTGTGTTAAAACTTACTGGCGTCGCGCAGAAATTCGTTGCACCTAGAGACATTGTGCGAACTTGAACCGACTGCCGGCCACGCAACAACGAAATCCTAAATGGCCGGCAGCCCATAAAATAACAGATTTCTCTTTTAATATAAAAATTAGGTAAAACCTAATAGCGGAGCTCCCAAAAGATATGCATGTTGGATGAAGATGTGATGCAAGACACATTGGTCAGATTTTGAGTACATGTTTTGTCAAGACTAATTTATTTTTGCTAACAAAAAAA